AAAGCCTCCCTGCAAGCAGCAAGGCCGTCAGGTCTACACAGGTTTTGCTGCTGGCGACCCAACCTGGCAGCTCGCAGACGCCAAGCAGCTCACAGTGCTAGTGGGGCCAGAGGCCAATTCCAGAATCCTTCCAATGCCTAACCACCAGCCCCAGGAGGCCACTCACAGGGAGCAAACAACCACTGACAGATGCTGGCTCTGATAACACATTAACCGACCCTGCAGACACATCCCCCATAAGGCAGTGAGGCGCCAGTAATTCCAGGGACCCCTCCCAAAAGCAAGGTCTCAGGCAGACTCTCCAAGTATGAGGGAGATAACCCCATCAGATCCAGGAGAGGCAAGACACTCCCTCACTCACCAGAGGATTGATGCTCTTGTCAGACAGGTCGTAGTCGGTGGAGGCGTTGTTCTTGATCAGTTTGCCATCCTTGATGAGGTAGCCCTGGCCTATCTTGTAGATCTGAAGGCCAGAGAGTGAATATAAATGTTTGGGAAGGAGTAGCCAGGTAAGAGAACCCAGGAGACCCACACACCACTAGGGACAAATACCCCCACCATGGGCTAGGTACAAAGGACTCTGGGAAATCTAGTGAGCAGTACCCCAGACTCAGTGCAGAAAGCAAAGCTGGCTGGGCCTAAACGAAAGCTACTAGCGCACAACTGAGACAAGGACTCTCCAAAGAGGATGGCTCTCACCCTGGGTCACGATGAGGGTGGCAACCGACAAACCCCACCTCCCAAGAGCCAGATCTGTGCCCTATCAGCCACAAGCGGCTCAAGTCCACAACATGTCCAAGGCGCAGCAAGGGAGTGGAACACTCACTCCCAATACTGGGATCACCGATATGCTGCCTTGTAGGAAATCTCCACAGGACCAGACCCGCAGCACCTCACCTTCTTGTTGATCTCTGTGCGGTGATGGTAGCCCTTCTGCCCAGCCCGGGCCACAGAGAAGGCCACTCGCGCAGGATGCCAGGCCCCGATACACGCAACCTTGCGCAGACCTCGGTGAGTCTTGCGGGGCAGTTTCTTGGTGTGCCAGCGGCTGGTGACCCCTGGAACAGACACTTGCTGTTACTGGGTGTGTGGCACCGATCACTGGCCCTTTTCTACTCTGAATGCCCACCCTGAGCTCACCGTCTGTGGTGCTCGTAGCACCCGACACCAGGGTAAGTGTGAGGAACAGAAGTGAGTTTAGTCTGCACGTCACTTTCAAGCCTCACGTCCCCACTCCCCTCTCAGGCTGACTACCGCCTAGTTCTAAACTGGAAACCAGAGCAGGCCTTGGAGAATCAGCCCTGAACGTGAACATGTGTTCTTTTAAAGCATCTATGAATTTGCCCACAAGCAGGGGGTGGCCTCATTTTCAAGTACCCCCTTGCATTCTGCAGCAGGCTACAAACTAAAGGGTTCAGGTGGGTGGCACTAGCCCGCTATACCACCTCAGTCACTGGCCCAGCAGTTCTCAGAAGGAAGGCAGCAAGGAATACTTCCGCAGCGTGACTCGGGCGCTGTGCCCAGCGCTCATTCCAGAGCCTCATCACCGAACAGCTGGGCCCGAGAGCCCTCCTCCTCCCCTGACCACTGGGGCCACCGCAGCAGCTCACCTTTGTAGCCTTTGCCCTTGGTCACCCCAATGACATCAATCATCTCATCCTGCCCAAACACTTGGTTCACAGGGACCTGCTGCTCCAACTGCTCGCGGGCCCAGTCCAGCTTCTCGGCCACCGTGCCTCCGTTCACCTGGATCTCCATGAGGTGGGCCTTCTTCTGGCGCAGAGGCAGCAGTCGCATCTAGGAGGGAACCGAGGAGCTTAGCTCTGCAGAGAACCCAGGCTGGGCCCTTCCCATACGGATACAGTCACCCTTCAATTCCTCCAATGAGGGACACGCCACAGATCTGCACTGCTGCTAACCGCGCGGGGTGAATGAGCACTCAGGAGTCTGGCGTGTCTGTCTACTGAGGAAGGTGGTCCAGACCAAGCACCAAGGGTCCAACCCAAACTACCCGGGGCTGGCTCTGCTCACGAGCACAGTTTGCAGTGAAGGCAGCCTTTATCTATCTCACCACCGACGAGCCTGTTTCCAGTTAGGCACCTGACTATGTCCATCCCAGTCAACAGTTCACTCCATCGGTTTTCCTTAAGAGCCACTAGGGACACAGTGCCCTCTGCTGGCAACAGAAAAACCCACAGAGGAGGCACTGGATGCTCTGCCTTCTCAGGTCACCCTCCACCTGTGATTAACCGGGACCCAGGCACCCAGGAAGGTAAGGGCAAGGCAAGGGCAGATGCTGGACTGTGCTGCTGTGTAACTTCAACAACCCAGCTGCTCATTGGTCTTTTCTCCCAAGACTGATTTTTATTTATGAATACGAGAACTGTGGTGTAGGTCAGAGGTGTGGGGGTGTGAGAGATAATTCCCCAGAGACAGAGTGGGGAGCAGCAGGCGAGATAAGAGAGGTTGGCTGCATCATGTGGGTCAGCTCCCTGGCCAGGGATCAAACTTAGGCTGTAGAGGCGACAGCTTGACAGTGCTGAGACTTTAACCCCTGTGCCACCAGGGAGGCCCCGGCCTCTTTTCTATGAAAAATTAAGTCGAAGGAACCAAACCATTCTTATCCCTCTCCCCACAAAATACTGGGAGACGGCACAAAATCCACTCAGAAGGCAATCAAGCCCTGAAAGGTTGCACCCAATAGACAAAGCTAGAGCCCATTAAAGACCACTGCCTCCACGGGAAGACACCCTGCTGCTTAGCCCGCTGCTGCCTGCTCACCTGGGTGTGGGCAATGACGCGGATGACCTGGCAGTACTTCTTCATGCTGCTGAAGTCCTTCTCCAGCTGCCTCTTGCCGTCTTCATCCTGCCACTTCTTGCAGTATTTGGTGAAAGCCTTCTTCTTAGATTTATGCCTTCAGGAGCAGAGCAGAGTTGGGGAGGGGGGCCGGGTGCAGTCCTTCATCAACCCTCCAGGGGGTGAGCGGAAGGCACATAGGCACACCGTGGGGATGGGGCTCATTGCCGGCTTCTAAGGAGCCTTTTCCACCGGCAAGCGGAGCCTGGATGGAGCTCATCGGGCAGAGCCGAGCGGAGCTGAGCAGAGGTCCACAGGTTAATGTAAGCCACACATTCAAGTTCACACACCAATTCTCGCTCTGGTCTAGACATTAAGCAGACCACAACTGGTGGGACTGGGATTATACTATCTGTCGGCCTGTAACTGGACTCTCAGTATCCCCCAAGAACCAATAAGATACTTAATGCTCAGCCAACAGTAAGCCTTATCTCAAGGCACTGCTGCTGCTCAGGAAGCCAAAGGCTGCTCAAGCTGTGTCCCTAGAATGGTTCTGCTCGAGACAGCTGAACTCAACACCAGAGCAATGCTCCCACCGCCCCCAGGCCTACACAAAGTGCCCCCCCCTCTTTCCAGTACCACCAAGGGCTTGCCAAGCTTCCCCTCATTCCCTCACCAGTTCTTGTAGAAACGCCTTTTGCACTCATCACTGATATGCTCAGCAAAGATAGTCTTAAAGGTGCGGAGGCCTCGAGGGGTTTCCACATAACCCACGATGCCCACCACCACCATGGGCGGTGTCTCCACAATGGTCACAGCTTCCACCACTTCCTTCTTGTTCACCTCTGCAAAGAAAGGAGTAGGCTTGAATTGGCTACTAGATAGTCCCCGCAAGAAATACTTGGGGTGTTGCACAGTAAAGTGAATTGTCAGTTTATGTGAAAAAAGCAACTTGCTTCATGTGAGCTTGAATGTAAATCAATTCAGTATCAGTCTGGTCTCCTAGGGCTGTCCCCACTATGTACTTGTCTGCATGCATTTAGATTAACTGAAATCAGACCAGGACCCTAGCTTGCCAAAATTAATAAAATACCTTAACTGCCTGTCTATTGTAGAAACCCCTAGAAACAACTTTATTGCCTATGTAATACAGCAGTAGGAAAGACAACAGGACATGATAACAGCTCTAAGCTCAGTAGAGAAATGTTAACTACCTAATATTAGAACCTACTGTGGTCTAAGCCTCAACACTGTCAACGCCTGTCTGTTCACAACTCAGACTCGGAAAATGCGCAATCAAGCTTTCGAAGGACACTCATTTCACTGCTGCCAAAATGAACGTCTGTCCTACTCAATCCTCAGCAGGTGCACTCTCCCAAGTCAGCGCTTCAGCTGTGCTGTGGCTTAGCACAATTTTAGTGTTCACCATCACACCCCGACTTCACGCATGCCCAAAGCATTAAGCGTCAGTCAGGTGTATCCCGGGAATACAAGTCAAGCCATACACGACTCTAGTCCGCCTTTCTGACAGCTTGGTCCCAACTCCAGCCCACCCCCACCCTCAACTACCTCCTCCTGTCCCCTTCAGCTTGAAGAATGCAGTGTATACATACTGGATCCTGGCCTATCCACCTCGCGGACAATGTGGGTCATGCCAGCCTTGTAGCCCAAGAAGGCTGTGAGGTGGACAGGCTTGGTGGAATCATCCTTGGGGAAACTCTTCACCTTCCCTCGGTGCCGGCTGCTGCGCTTCCGAGGCAAGAAGCCCAAGGACCCATGTCTGGGAGCGGAGAACTTCCTGTGAGACTAGGGAAAATGACCGCATAATATTAGCACATAAACTTGTAAGCAGCTCCCACTTCTCTGGGTCCAGGGTACCTAGGTTTTCAGAGGATTTCCAGCCACGGGTACTTATCAGGCACCCAGCAACCTCGGGTACCTGGCTGGCTTTTTGGAGGATCACACATGTAGGAGGCAGTGCTCCTCTACACTGGCCTTGATCCCCAACGCTCACTATTTAAAAGAGCACGTTCCTTTTTCGAAATTAGACAAAACCACACCAGGTGCCAGCACTCAAAAATATCTTATACTAATTAATTAAAAAGCAAGGCTGATCCCTTTCCCGGTCTGGGAAGCAGAAAATGGCCTACCAGGGGGGCCTCCCGCCACACTGCTCTCGTGGGCCACCGGAACTCCAGAGCCAAATCAGAACCTGACAATCAGCACAGAGTCTCTGTCCGCCCGTCAAGAAGTTCATCACGCGTGGCATCTGGCGCTCCAGAGGCTTGAGTTGCAGCAGCCGCCCAAGCCTTTGGGGAGGCCCCCCCCATGCCTCGCACCAAGCCTCCCCCCACCCCCGCCCTGGCTGCACCTCCCAGCTTAGCGAGTGGCACCAACGCTGACGGGCCCTAACCTTGATTAGCACTAAACTGATCAAACCGAGGCCCAGAAATCATACGTGGCTTGTCTGACCCGGGCCTGCAACCCGGCGCCGGCCACAAGGACCAACGGCAGAACGGGCTGCCGAAGTTTTAAGAAAATAGGCCTAACCAGGGAGCGAGCTTAGTCGCCTGTGCTCCCATAACAGATTCCCGACGCGGGCCGAGCCGCGATGCCGGCGATGCGCCACGGATTCAGCCACGCCGCCCATACAGACGGGCAGGCCGCCATTGTGGTACGTACCATAGCTCCGTCCCAAGCCGCCAGTAGAGGTCGGCCGCAGGCAGATGCTCACTATATAAATCCACCCTAGCCCCGCCCCTTCCGGCGTGTGAGCGCGCGCCCGCGGAGGACGTCGGGGCGGGGACCGGGAGGGGGGAAACGCTCTTTCCGCGCATGCTCAGCGGCTCCCGGCGTCCGTTCCGAAAAGACGTCAACCTCGGAAGCAGGAGTTGGGTTCTACGGTAAGCGGCTGAGCCCAAACCTGGTGCGAGGCTCGCGAACGCTGGGCTGGAAAGGGACTGGCGCACGACGTTGGGCCGTAACCTCGTTTCAGGAGTCGCGCCGCCAGGCTGCGGGGAAACAGCGCGTCGCTTCTTTTTGCCCGAAACGCTCTCACTCCCGGAACCGAGCGGCGGGCTTGGGGCTGTAGCTCCAAAGCGCGCCCACGCGAGGTGGCCCGTTTCCGCGCCTCCCAGGTCGGGGTTATTAGCGTTTTGCAGGCGCCTTGAGGTGGAAGGAGGCGCCCCCTCCCGCCGGCTCTGGGTTGCAGAGAATGAATGAAACGCAGGTTTTCTGGCGCCACCCCAGGGCCCTGCCGCCAGTCCTGTGCCACTGCCGTGATGGGCCCCGATTTCCCTCACACCTCACGCCTGCCACCCCCGCCAGTGCGGGGGTCTCGGCCCCAGGCCCGGCGTCCAGCTGCCCCCGCCGCGCAGAGCCGAGGATCCCGGGGCCCCAGACCTTCTGCAGGGCTCCCCAGACTCCTGCGGGTCCCCGCCTGAGTTCCCGCGCGGCTCCTAATTGCCCTCCGGCCCCGGGGTGCTTGCTCAGGATTCACCCTTAACCCCTCGGGCTAGGCCAGATGTGTTTCCAAATTAAGCCTTTTTCAATTTTTAAATAATATCCTGCAATATGGTACACATGCTGTGTGTTATGTAATCCTCCCAAAACTCTAATGAAACACATTAATCCTATAAGGAAAAATGAATATTCACAAGGAGTGGGATAAATATAAATAGCCTCACATCAGTTCAAGACTGACTTTGCTGCTTAGTAAATCAGGTCAGTTTAGTTTTTGCCAACGATTTGCAATTTTTTTTAATTTCAGAATTGCAGACAGGAGTTTATGACCTGTTTTGTCTCCTCTTACAAAGAAAATTAAGCTTTAAGGCTAAGAGATAATAACTTGACAAAAGTCGCACCATTTATAAAGGACAGCTCAAATCTGTTTGAGTTGGTTGAGTTTTTCACAGCATGAGACTTGGGGTTCAGTAACCCCTTACTGGGAAAGGAGCTCTGAGATCCCGAGTACCCCATTCACTCAAATAAATTCTTCCAGAAGGCTTCCTTGTGCCAGGCACGGTGCCAGGCTGCGTACAGAGAACAGCACAGCCACCATCACGCACCAAATAAGACCATTTAAAATTGTGATGAGAGTTTAAAAGATTGAGCCATGTCACTGAAGATCCCGAGCAAATTGTTCTAGTTAAGAGAAAAGCAGAGCACCAGTAGGCCTGCACTGTCTTGTCTGTAGCCACTGGGTTATTGCCATGGGCCTCAGTTTTCCCATCTGTCAAATATGGGATTCAGTCATTGTCAACAAATGTGTCCGGAACTTGTTCTGCCTAGCCCCAAGCAGGGCTGTGCTGTACAGAAGTGAAGCAGCCACCAGGCCCCGCCTTGGAAGACACCGGTCTGTCTACGTAACAACTGAAACAGAAGCCTGTGCAAAATATGACTGGGGTCTCAGAGGAGAACTACTAATTCCCCTGAGTCTTCCTCCTGCCTCAAACCTCTGCACCGGGTCTGGAAGGATTTTTGTCAGGCAAAAGAGCAGCTTTCCACGCAGAGGGGGTGATGTGCACAAAGATACAGAGGATAAAAGATCTACTCAAAGGCTACTGTGACTGTTATGGCCAGAGCAGGGGACAGTGGCAGCAGAAAAGTAGACGTGCTTAGGAAGGTGGGTAGAATTCAGACCCTCTGAGTGTTATGGTTTGGGGTTGAAACTTTCTCCTGAGGGCAATAGAATGCCCTGGAAGTGTTTGAGCACTGGTGTGTTTTGGGAAAGGCCAGTGCAGGTAAGGATAGGGTGAAAGGGCTTTTCACTATTCCACGTAAGTCATCAAGGAGGGTGACCTGGAAAATGAGGTGGAGGTGGACTTGAAGGGGCAAGATCGGGAGCTATTTAAGATGGGCGGGATCTGGAGACCTTGCATGAGGCGTTGGGGTGGGTGCTGGGAGAGGAAGCAGTGAGGGCAGGAGTCACTTTGGAATATTTGGTCAATGGTGTCACTTTTAGAAGGGGTAGATTAATTTAGATATGTAGGTTTGGATTCCTTTATGGGATTAACACCATCCTTTCTTCTTCTAAGAACATATCTAAGGCAACATCCTGGGATGTTCATAACTCAACAAGTAAGAAAGGGAAAATAAGTTGAAGCCACAGATCACACCCAAGATACACATTATGGAATTCTGTTTATGCCAGGCCAGTCTCCCACTTGATTCCAAGTCTTCATGCGGCCAAATAAAAGATAAATTATGGGGCCTCCCCGGTGGCGCAGCGGTTGAGTGCTGGGTTGCGAAGCTGCCTGCAGCCTCTGCAGCCGGCTCGATCCCCGGCTGCTCCCCGGCCACCGGAGGAGGGTCCCACATGGTGAGCAGACCTCTCCTGCCGCCCGCTGCTCCCCTCAGCAGTGTACTTCGGTCCTTCTGCCTGCTCTGCTCCCCGCTCTGGCTCTGGTGAATTCTCTCACCCTCCCACGCTTCTGACTGTACCCAGTGCATGTATAAACCAAACAAACAAACAAATAATAAATAAATAAATAAATAAGACATGCCTCTAGAAAATTAAAAAAAAATAAAAAAATAAAAAATAAAAAATGTTTAAAAAAAAAAAAAAAGATAAATTATGATTAGTAACATGATTCACAGTGTTTACGTGATAAAAACAAACCAGAGGAGTCCATTGTACCTGAAATAAGACTTGCAAGAAATTTCTCCAAGAAGACAGGGTTCTCCTGATCAGACCAGAGTGTAACGTAACTGATGATGCCTCAAACATCATCCCACAGTGAACCCACAAGGTCTGTGTACTCTCAGCACAGGCTGATGAATTCGCGTAACATGCCGATCCAATCTGTGAGCTGTGTACAAGATGCCAAAACATGGAGGTTGGGTTACCTGATCCCTGATGCTGGAGTAAATCCAAAGATAAAATCCACAGTCTGGAAAGAAGTGTTACAGTACACCTCCATGAAGGGAGGCACCATTTTCCTTGCCCCCACTTACCTGCGGCTGCCTTGGAGGACAAGGCCCTGTGTATGAGAACCAGCCTCCCTGAGCAGGGGCACTGCTGGGAACTGGGGGCTGAGCTGAGTGGCCAGGTGGCCTGACATTACATGGAAGGCAGGTAGGCCTGCTTGCTCTCGCTTTTCTGGCTCCAGCTTGCACCCTGGTCTTGCTGGAAGGAGACATGTGGAGGTGAGGCATGTAGAGGTACTTGGGAGAGATGTGGCTGAGAGACACATGGGGGGCTGCTCCTGGACCTTGGCGGGGACAATGGCACCCGTTATCTCAACCTCAGTGTGGATTACGTGTTATATTTTGAGTCTCGAATATCTCCTGTTCCAGCTCTCTGGGCCGGCACCAATCTAACCCCTTTCTTGTGGTTCCCTGCCAGAAGCTACCTTAGACTGGTGGCAAGTTTTTGGGTGTTTGCCGGGGCTGTTTGCCGGGGCATTTGCCCACAGAAGATTGGGATTTGGAGTTTATCAGGAGTCTGCTACTGGAAATCCTTTCTTCCTCTCACTGCCCACCAATTTGATTAAAAATCATTCACAGGAAGAGTCTGCTTCCTTTGCCGTGAGTCCCTAGTAGTTTGGGATCTCCGGCCATGCGCTAACAGAAGTGGACTGACTGTGTACAAATAGGCCTCCATCAATACTCATTTTCAAAATTCCATTTCAATAAGGAGCTGTGAACATATTGCAGCCCCCCACTCCCGTATCCTCCACCCCCCACCCCCACTCCCCACGCCCCATCCCCTCTAGCAGACAAGCAAGAAAAACCATCTGCATAGACCTGAAGTCAGCACAGGCTCTGCCCTGTTCTGGGACGCAGCCGGGCACAAATCTGTTGCCTGGGGCTAGACCAGCCTTCTAATCCTGCTCACGACTAAGGGGCTGGCAAAGAAGATTTCAACATTGGGCCCCAGCCTTCTCATCTCTGCCCTGTGTTCTTTAAAAATAGGAAGGTGATTAAACCCCAACATTTGCCCTCCCCCTGCCCCGCACATAAATAGCAACAACCAATCTTAGGTCAAGGTGACTTGGAGATTGAGAGATCTAAGCCTATAGACCCAAGCCAGCAGAACATTTCTGTCACTGACCCTGTGCATACGCAACTCAGACTCGTCATGGTCGGGACAGGACTCAGGATAAAGCCTGTCGGCCTGCTTCACAGGTTTAAGTCCTCACTTCAGTTATTAACAGACTCTGCCTCATGATTATTAAGACTTTGATTCCGGTCAACAGAGTAAAAGGGGGGGGTCCTAGCTTTTGTTCTAGTACCTCAGGGGCTGATGTTCTCTACATCTATGG